CTATCTCCTGGCACCTGGTACCCAGACTACTTGGCAGATGAGGACAACTGGACATCCCTTTCCTACAAGGTTGCCAACACAATCCCCACTGCCCCATTTCTGTTTAAAGGTCAGTCTCAGCCTGGACAAATAGCTAAGCTGGTAGAGAGCTTGCCTCGTATTTAATCCCCAGCACATAAACAAAGTACAGTGCACACGCTCATGATGAGAAGATTGAAAGTTTGAGGTCATCCTCAGCTACGTTGCAAGTTCAAGGCCAGCCTGGTCTATATGAGACACTGTCTCAAAAAAGGGTCAGCCTCCATTAAATGAATCTTTCTCTGGAATCCCTCAGCTTGCATTGCAGGTAAGTATTCTTTTTTTACTTCCTCCCCTCCCCCAGTCAAATACCAATTTTCACTTTCTTGAGAGAATACAAAACCCATCCTGGTCAAGTATGTTAGCAGGGCTTTAAAATAAAATGTCAACCAGCACAGCAGAAGAAAAGCTGAGTTTTATTACTGAAAAGTTGGAGCTTTGGTGGAGTCACAAGTAAAGTACATAATATGATAAGCATGTCCCCAGCAAGAGGCCTTCTAGATTCCTAACTGCTGTGCAGCGGAGAAATGCAACTTCATTCCTACAGCACTCTGAGAACCCAGGGTTGACCCTGCAGGGTCATGGACTCCTATAGTTACAGACAGAGCTGACTTCCAATGCTACCTCAGGGATAGTTCAATCGAACAGCCTGGGCTGAAAGTTCATTTTAATGTATGATAGATACTAAACAGAAAAGAGAGAGAATAGGAAAAGAAAAGGAGGAAATTTTCAGAGGCCAGCTAGACTGTAACAAAGTCCCTGAGTAACTGCCTGGCACTTCAAATAAGCAGGTCACGTTTTTTTTCAGAGGCTGCTTCTACCGCTGTAATTAGAGACAGGAACGGCTGTTGCTAACTCTGAGAAGGGAAAAAAATGACTTGGCTCAGTCCTGTTTCCAGTAGTGAAAGTAGCAGATAGCCCCAGAGGATCAGGCTCTGTGAGAGCAGCACCAAGGGCCACTCGGTCCTAGACATGTGCTCTTGGAAGCAGCTGATGCAATATAGAAATCCTGCCTGGACACAGACCTCTTCACCCAACAGACTCAAACATAGTGTCACCAATGCCTAGGCCACACAAGTCTACTTCCTTTTCTCTTCCTTTCTCTGAAAGAAAATAAAAGAAAGGAAATGTGAGTGAGGACTGGCTATCTGCTAATGTTAGGGGGATGAAAAGAGCCCTGGAATCACCAAGTAAAAAATACATGAAACAGTAAGCAAAAATTCAAAAGTCAGCTATGAGCCTCACAGCCCACCTTTAAGAGCTACAAAAAGGCAAATTTGTCTTGATCTTTGAAAATCTCAAGGAAGCTATTTCATGGCTTCAGGACCACTGTGAACATTTTTTTTTTCTTCTCCCTAGTCTTTAAGGCTCTTGCTTCATCTTCATCCAATAGACTCTCATATAGGATCCTCCTGGTTATCAGGCCTGGTGATATCATTGTGTACCCACAATGCAGTGTGAATGATAGGATCCTCCTGGTTATCAGGCCTGGTGATATCATTGTGTACCCACAATGCAATATGAATAATAATGGCCCAACATCCACTTTGGACAAATGCAAACAACTCAACAAACACTTCTCTGGAAGTTTCCCTGATTCCATTTATGTTGAATCATGGGCCAAGGAAATAAACTTAAGTGTTCCACGTGTCAATAGAATCCTTTCTTAGTGACATAGATTCTGCTTTTAGAGATGAAATTCATTTATTAATTTAGAATCATAATTCTTATCATTCACCAAGCAAAATTATGACAAGGCTATATTACTTGTGACATGGATATGTGACTCTTATTTACAACATATGCAAAGAAAGAAAAGGAAGAGAGAAAAAGGAAAGACAGAGAAGAGAGGGAGGGAGGGTAAGAGACAAAGCAGGAGGAAGGGGCAGGAGAGGAGGAGTCGGGTGCACTTGCTACAACTATTTAACCTATTGACCAAATCAGCAAAATGATTCTATTACTAGAAAATATTATCATCAGGTAAGAAAAACCTAATGTCCCAAGAATATAAAAAGCTGCGGGGCTAGGCATGGTGGCATATGCCTTTAATCCCAGAACTCAGGAAGGAGAAGTAGAAAGATCTCTGAGAGTTCAAGGCCAACCGAGGCTTACACAGTGAGACCCTTTCTCAAAAGAAAAAAACATTATTTTCCAAACTCGGGCTGCTGATTGGAAGAAAGAGTTGTCTAATGGTGTAGATGAGGATGAGTTAGTCTCCTGAATAGGAATAACTTTCTCATAACCAGAACCAACGGTGAGAAAGTCAGGACATTAAGATGAAATGTATTCCAAGATGGTCAGGTGCTCAGAGAAACACTGAATTTAAGGAGGCATTAAAAGCAAGGCCGGCAGCATAAGTACTGCTTGGGGAGTAAAAGCACTGCCCTAGGCAGAGCATCTTTCTTAATTAAGTTACCACAGTAAGATACAATATGGCCACAAAGAGTCAAGCACAGATGATACACACTGAACAAGATATAGCAGCAGATAGCACTTCTAAATACTGGCATCCTTGAAAAGTTTACTGGGAATTAAAATGTGTGCTTGCACTAAGGGGATTCATTACTTAAAGCTATCAAAAGGTAAATTCTTTAAAGCCAAGAACTGGCCATAAAGCATTCTTCTCTGATTAGTATGGTTTGTAAATCCATTTATCCACGTATTATTGTAAATCTAGTAAAGAAATTCACAGAAGAAATACAAATATCTACTGCACATGGGGCAGGAGTTTTGACCTCACTAATAACCCAGGAGACAGAAGTTAAAAGTAAGGTCCCCTTTCCCTCTGACATTAACGGAAGATAAAGCCAATTTCTATAGCAACCTCTCTACCCAGAGAGTGAAGGTAAGGGCAAGCACACTTTACATTCATAGTGAACTGTACGTTGGAGTCCTTTTAAACAACAACTCTACAGTTCCCGTTAAAATTTAAAATGCACACCTCCACACTTCTAAGTACCCATTCTAGAAACACCTACACTGGTATTCAGGGATGCTCTCTATACTGTGTCTGGGTGAACCTGGTAGCAACTGACATCCCCAGTGGAGGAGACAGGGGTGAATAACCACGGTGTAGAATCAGACAGAGCTGAGGCTGGCTCAGACAGCTATTTAGCATCCACTGAGGGAAAACAATGCACCCTGCACAGATAACATAAGAGTTTCATCTCTTACAACTAAGTATGTGCAAACAGAGACTAAATGGGCGTTTTTAAAAGACATTATCCCTGGGGGAGGTAGAAAGAGAAAGAGGTAGACTATTTCACTTTTTAAACACTTTATGAGTATATTTTTTTTAAAAAAGAAATCATATAAAAAGGAGTTATGAAGGGATGAGGCTATTAATCTGAGAATCCACTGGAAACACATACTATGTATGGAGTCTCACAGAGCTGGTGACCCCAAACCATGGCTACCCTGTGACTTCACCAACAATACCTGCTCTGACCAATGAGCTGACAGAGACCCACGGACTCTAAATCATTTTCATGGGGAAAAAGATACAGTTTTAAAACAACATATCTAGTTTCTCCTGGACAAGTTGAAGAAATTCAGTAACTATTTTTCTTGTAAGTTTCCATAGGCTCTGACTCAAACCGAAGCCAAAATCAAAATAGTAACAGACTTAGATCTCATTTGCATCTTTGAACTACCTAAAATCACATTCAAACTAAGACCCAAACCTAACGTATAAAATTCAGGCCCAGAATTTTGAGGACCAAAGTCTTTCTTTCATCTGATATAAACGCTGATGCAACATGCTTTCCTCTTTGTTTAAAAAGAATATCCATTCATTTCCAAATGGAGCTCTCAAAATGACCCATTCAATCAGAGTTCTAAGCACATCATGGAATTAAGAAAGGTACAGTATTAATGATCTTATGCTATAAAATGTCCCCTCTCTAATATGCGTATTAGAAACAAGGTCACCAAAATGGAAGTTTACAAAAAGGTAATCAACTTAATAATACACCATCACTTGTAAAATAGAAAAGCACACACCGTGTCTTTCTCTAATGCACTTAATAAGAGACAGTCTTAGGACGATATTTTCCAGGCTAGAATGTACTTTCCACTTGCCCTAATAATAAACCTATGCCCAGATGGGAAATATAACTCGAACTAAATAAACATGCTATAGACGAGAACAGACAAGCTAGCAGGCAAGCCAGAGAACTTGAAATGCCTTCTGGAGCTATAAAGGAGTTATTTATCCAACTCAACAGATAAGACAGAGAATATAAAAAGTTAGATATTTGATGGTCGCACAACGATGGTGGCTGTGGTGAGCACAATGCAAATCTAGGTGAGGGAGGAAACCCAGTGGAGCCTGCCACAGGAGAGCATGCATGAAGTGTGCACTCAAGCTGGAGGAAAGGCACACCACACAGTGATACTAAAGCTGTCAATCACTCTCACATCACTGACGTAATGTTAAAGTGTCCAGACTTTGTTCCTGGTGACAATGGGTGATCTACGCAACTTTCTTGGAATTATGTATAGCCTAGAACCAATTGCTTCTAGTATCCAATGTAGGGGGGGGGGGAGTTGAAGAAAGAAAGGGAAAGAAATGCCACATGAATACAAAGTGATTCCTTTTTTTTTTTTTTCCTAACCACCCACACAAAGACAGCAGTTTCTGACAGGAATGTTCTCGGCAAAAAATAAAATTACAAGAAGGCTTTCGCTTTTTTTTTCCAATGGGGAAAAAAAAAGGCAGTTCTATGTGCAGATTACTAGGCAATTCTATGGTTTTTTTTTCTTAAAAGGAACATATTAACATCACTTGTGTTTTGAAAATATTATCTAAGTAACATATCTTTCAGATCATAAAGAAATGTTGAGCAGAAGGAAGTACAGTTCCCGTGTGCGGTGCTCACTTCTGGATGTACTTGAAAATGAAGCCCACCGAGGCAGCTTACCTTGGCACTGGAAGCCTTGTTTCCCAAACCCCCTGGAAAACAGAAAACAAGAACAAACCTCTTAGCATCCTTTCCACTGAGACCACATTGTAACAAGTTACGTGAACAAGTATTCTACAGGGTCTAAAAGTCTATACTTGAAACCCAAGAGCTCCATAAGAAAAAAAAAAAAAACACCAGTGAGCATCTAACTAGATGGACTGCATGCATTTATCTTTTTAAAATAACCAAGGAAATCTGTCTATAAAGGATGGCTGAACTGTTACCAAGTTTGTATCTATCTGGTCTTACTTCTCTTTGTGGCTGGTATTTAAATTGCGAAACAAGAACATGACTTCAAACTTAAAATTGTTGGTTACAATACTCCAATGACAAAAGGGAGCTTATGGTTTTAAAATTGGGCAGGGGGCCTACTTTTTAGTCCTGAAAACAAAGTAATATTTTTCTCCCTAAAGACAACCAAAAAGTAGCTTGTTAGAAGTTTGTTTCAAATAGTATGTGTCTAAGAACTGTCCAGTAGTACCACTGTTTACATTCCATCTGGGCTGAAGGAATCTGATTTGATGAGACATCGCTGCTATAGCTGGCACTTGAGATTATCCGTGGTCTAATTTTCACTGAGAATCAATGGCGTTCAAAGTCTACACTGAGACCACTCTGCTCTTGTAAATCATGTTAGAGAACTGACTCCGTGAGCACAGAACCCTGACAAGGATGCTTGACTACAAGCACTGTTCCAACAGAACGAACTGCATCAAAATGTTCTCAGAGGTGGCTCATAATCTCTTGCTTTGCGTAGCATTTTAAAGTCACAAAGCACTCTACGTTCCTTTATAATTATCTTAATGTCATCACCCTACCAAAAAAAAAAAAAAAAGCCAGGTTCAAATATTTAGCTTTAAAATACAAGTGCTTAAATACTGAAATTAAATTGTAAACCAAAGACTCATAGAAGCCATAATGAAGGGAAACAGAGAATTAAATCCACTGAAAGATGATCTTGGTGGGGGTTCCCTGGCCATCCAAGGGGCTGCTTTCAGAGTAAGTGAAGCTCTTGTGCTTGTGTGCGACTGCTCAGAGTGGGAGGGAAAGCGGACCTTTCCCTTACATCACAGTGAACCTGGTACCCTGATACCTCATCAGTTGGCCCAGGGACGGGTCCTCTGGGGAGTGAGAGTAAAGACTGATGAGTTAGAGTGGTAAAAATGTAAGTCCTTTTTCTAAAGTATCTACTTCCTGAAGAAGTAATTATCATTCTGTCCTCTTTGAATAGAATCTCGCAGCTAACATGAGAGGCTGCAACCTGCCAAATGCAGTAGCCTCCCTAGACTCATCGTAAGTCGCCTTATCTACAGTCACCCACTCCCTGGGCTCGATTGCTTCAGATGCTAACTACACTATGGAAACTGTAAAGTTGTGTTGTTCACCAAGGTGCACTTCTGGATAGTTTCTTAAAAGGAAGAAAAAATCAGGCATCTTATTGGCAACCCGATGGTGGGGTTCCCGCTTTTAATTCTCATCTCTGGGTGGCATGGATTCAGCGCCATCCATCCGTCCTATAGCCACTAGGATACTCCATTATGTATAACGCTAGCCCACCGACTGCTTGGAGTCTAGGCCCACTTCATCCCTGGTCAGATCCCCACCCAGGAGGGAGCTAAGGAGCCCCAGCCACAGCTCTTGCTTGTAAGGAGCATCTTACTCCAAATACATGGAGAAGAGTTGGGGTATCCCAGGAGAAAGCTGACACTTGGTGTTCAAAGTGGTGGGAGGGGGACTGAGAGTTCCCTTAATTCCAGATTTCTAAGCATTGGAACTGGGGGGGGGGGGGCTGACATTTTTTAAATCTAATGAAAGCTGTAATTCTCTCACCAAAATTTTTTTTTAAAAAAAACATAAATCTGAATAAACACAATTTTACCTAATTTCGAAAGCTCCGGAGAGATAGATGCCTGAACCCTTCCTTCTGTCAATTCCCCTCAAGTTACCAATGTTTGGCGTTCAGTGGAAATCACCTGAGCGCGGACACCTTTAGCCATTACAGTATTTTTCTTAAATAAGCCCTCTGTCCTCATCAACCGGGTTACAGGTCTAATCTCCTGTTGACAGGGTCTATTTTAAATGACTCCCTCTGCCCTCTGCCATTTGCCTGCTGGGTTAGCCCTCCTCCCCCACTGCAAGCTTTCAACAGTTTGCTGCCTTCCATCTCTCTCCCTCCCCACCCTCCCCGCTCTGGGCTCACCCAGAAAAGTCAAAGTCTCCGTGCCCAGTAGAAATAGCCTACAGTAGGCAGGGACCCAAGGTTCCAGCGGAGTCCCAGCCCGACGCGAGGCACAAACACTCCCCGGAACGCGCCCAGCCTGGCTCGCCAGCAACTTGGAGCGGCGCGCGGCGGCTCCCCGCTACTCTGGGGCGTGTTTCTTGAGCGTCCCGGGGCCACTCTGCCACCAGCATTCTCTTCCCGGTCCCTTCGCTCCCACCGGGCGGCACTGGCTTGGCTACGGGGAAGACCCGTGCGCCCCAGGAGAAGCGAGGGGACCTTCCCCCTCATCCGAGTCAACCCGTGCGGAGCCAAGCGTCCCTTCAGGGCAGAAGGGCAAGCGTGGCAGCGCTGGGCCACTTCCCAGGGAGTGTCCCGCGTGGGTGCGCGCCTGTCACTCCTGGTGAGAGTTCGGACTCCGGCCGGGCACTCTTAAGTTCTCGGAGGAGTCCTGGCAGTGAGAGTGAGGACGCGCCGGGGCTCAGAGACGTCCCCGAGCCCAAGTCCCCGGGCAAAGGTGGCTCCCGGGTCCCCCGGGCTGCCGCGCGCACCTACCAGATGAAGTCGGTGCAGTGGCTGCAGAAGGTGGGTTGCTTGAAGAAGCGGGCGATGAATTTGTGGTCTTTCACCTCGTGCACGTTCTTCTGCCTCAGCGCCCCTTTGCGGGCGAAGCGGTTGGCCACGTCCTGAGACGCCGTGGAGTCGTTGGCCGGGTAAACGTCAGCCATGGTCCCCCCCAACCACCTCTTGCCTCCGCCGGGGAGCAGCAGCCGGGGAGGGCCGGGGTGGGCGGGGGCGGCGGCCGAGGTGGCGGTGCTGAGGTGCGGTGGTGGCGGCGGTGGCCGGGGAGAGCCGGGCGGGCGCTGCGCTGCTCGGAGCTGGGAGCCGAGCCGCTCTCTCTGCCTCTCTCTGCCTCTCTCCGGCTCTCTCGCTCGCTGGCTGGCCCCACGCTCACTGACAGCCCGGCGCCCGGCGCTCGCGCTTCCTACTCGCGGCGGGCAAGAGGCGGCCCGGAGCGGCGCCGCCCACTGCGCATGCCCGGAGAGCTAGCGTGTGTATGTGTGCACGCGCGCGCGCGGGATGGAGTTGGAGCGCGCGGGACGGGGACGCGCGCGGGGCGAGCCTAGGGCCTCTGCGCTGCGCAGCACAGAGCTGGACAGGCGTACTGGGGGGGGGCCCTGTGAGCCCGACCAACACCCGAGGGCGACGGTCGGGGAGAGGCCCTGGAGATGCCCAGCCCAGGAAGAAGCCGGGAGGGGCGGGTCCTCCTCCTCCACCGCCTGCTTCTTTTTCCTCCCTTTTCCTCTGCTTCCTCCTCCCTCTTTTTTCTCCTCCTCTCCTTCCGCTCGTCGTGCCGGGCCTCCTCCTCTCCCCACCTTCCTCCACCCACTCACGCTTCCCTGCTCATGCTTTCCTCTTTCTGGGATGGAAGTTGTGCCCCGGAGGAACCGGGCACGGGCGCCACCCTCATGCCAGCCTCCTTAGCAGGTACAGAGGCAGCGTCTTGTCTAAGCTACCTGGATCCACCGGCATTTCGGGGTTTGCTGGCGTTTTATCAACCTCTTACCCGTCTAACCTTTCACCTGACCAAAATGTCATTTTAGTCGTTTATTCCACTAAAATGTTCAAACCCTAACCCTCGCTCAGTTTCAGTTCAGAGTCGGTGAAAGGGAGCGGTTTTGAATAACTGATCGCCGGCTCTCTTACCTACCTTCGGTCTTTGACCTGCAGTTCACCTGCTTATTATATAGATTTGTATGACAATCGTAATCACCCGGTAAGATGCCTGGGCGCTTGCCGTGGTTTGTGATGTTATTCATTGATTATCAGAACTGTGGTGCCCGATGATGCTCGGGCTCTCTTGATTTTACATGTCCAGAACCTTAATTTAGAAATCGTTTTGCATCCTAAACTAATTGCTGAGATACTGGCAGGTGTAGAGTTCAGCCAGAACATTTGTAAATTACCAAGTAAAACTGCTTGTGGAGACTAGCTGGAATGGATATGTATGCAAAGGGCGCACTTGGGGCTGGGCCGCCAGAGCGCCTGCTGAATATATATTAGGTCTGCCTGGAGGATTCTAAACCTGGGACAGAAGCAACCATCTCTCCCAGCAAGAAGTTCATTGTCCCAATCTGCCTAGGGTGGTCTCAAACTCGAGGTAATCCTCCTGTCGCAGCTCCTGAGTGCTGGAATTACAGGGATGAGCCATCACATCAGCTTCGTTTATTGTTGAGTACTAATTGCCAGATTCACCAAACTCACAAAACAGTTTCATTAGCTAAATCCATCAAGACAATGTGCACACTTTAACTCGGACAGGGTAATGCCAGCCAGTGATCCCAAGAGGATGGGAAATTTAAGATCTCGAGTAAAGATTTTAAAAGAAGAAGATTGTCTGAGATACTAGCTCGAAGCATATACCATAAACCATGAAGGACTATTCTTTTTTTGAGATTGCCTAATCGTTGAAAAGAAAGCTTTTACATTTAAGCAAGCGTAGGCTACTGATTGGCCATCAGTAGAACAGGCTCTTCACTGACCCATTTACAATCTGGTGAGCAAGTGTCTTAGGGTTACTATTACTATGATGAAACACCGTGACCAAAGGCAACTTGGACAGGAAAGGGTTTATTTGGCTTACATACCCTGAATCACAGTTCACTGAGAGAAGCCAAGCCAGGAGAGAACCTGAGGGCAGGAGCTGATGCAGAGGCCATGAAAGATTGCTGCTTTGCTCAACCAGGATCACAGTCCCAGGGATAGCACCACTCACAGTGGGCTGGGCCCTCCTCCATCAATCACTAATTAAGAAAATGTCCTACAAGCAATATTACGGAGGAATTTTTCTCAACTGGTACCAACTTGTGTCAAGTTGGTGGGGCTAGCCATCACAGACAGTACTGTTGGTGCTTGGTGATATTCTATCTGGAAAGTGAATTTCAGCACTTCCAGGCCAAGGAGGCAAGAAGGAGAGAGACAGGAGAAGAATGAAGAGCAAAGCATACTAGGAAAATGGATCAAATTCTCCAAAAAAAGCCACTATGAGTGTCCCAAACCATCCATGTTTAGTTGATATTTGTAGTTGAAATGGGGCATGTGGAACAAAGCCACAACCCCTCACTCAGCCCTGTTTATCTAAGATGGGGGTCTTCCCCAAATGTTTAATAAAGACAAGCTTCTTTCTATTTCCCTGAGGCATTGAGGGTGAGGTGGACAGAAGTGGAGGGTGGGGTTGCTCGTGTATTCTTGAATACAAATGAGAACCAGGCAGGCTGAGCAGCAGCCTGGCATCTTCTGTGTGGAGAGGAGGAAAGTGATTGCTTTCAACTGTGCATACATAGGAGGGAGGTCATGTCTCTTTCCTCTTGAGTTGTGGCTTTGCTTGCTTGCTTCTGTCCTGTGGGTGTGAAGAGAAATGGCTAACTGAAAGCCCATTGATTGCTAGCTGGCCTGAGTGTGATTGCATCAACTGCCTTCATTTAAGCTCGCTTGGCCCAGAGAGAGTAGTGCACCCGGAGTGAAGAATTGTCAGTTACTGAGCAATACAGCTGCACCTCTAGCATGGACAGATAGGAATGGTTGGTCACCATCCCCTCATGCTGCCCACCTGACAAGATTCCTTCCCCTCGTGGTGTAGCCGGATAGAGAAGATTAAAGAAGAGACCTCTGGGGAGGCAGTGTTCAGTGCTGGTGATTATTTTTCATCTGTTGTTTCATGGAGAAGATACCAGGATAGAACTGAAGATGATGGGTGGGGTGCAGCATCCATGTCCACCCTGGTGTTGAAGAGTAAAGTCAGTACTCCTTGGAGAGGTGTCATCTACACTATAGTGACATAGCAACTTGATGTTGGGGTCAAAGTTGGGGTCTTGAATTACTGCTTTCAAACAGGAATGGTTTACTTAACATTGGTCCTCTTGATTTTGCAGGATACAACTTGTTTTGTGAAAACACCTGCTCTGCTTTCCACATGGGCCATTTTCAAACTGGGCCATAGGAACTGCTTAAAGTATTGAAAAAGCCCATCGCAAGATGAATTCATCACTTGGGCTTTTTCAGCGTACTGTGTAGAAAGCTTGGGGAAAGGTAAGACGACAGATTAGATTTACTATCCAGCAGATAGTTAGATTTACAGTGACTAGGAGGTCTGGAAATAAATAGACTGTGTCCAAATGACAAGGAGACTATAAGGGCCAGGGGCTATTGTCAAACAAGCTTTGAGACCTGGTGGGCTAGAAGTCCCTATCAGAGATGAGTGCCAAGCCTTCCAGACTCAGTAGAATGGCAATCAGCTAAAATCCAGGTCACATATTCCTCAACAAGGCATAGGCTCTGTCTTCTCAGAAGGCATGCCTTTTTGTTTGTTTGTTTGTTTGTTTTGTGTTTTTGTTTTTTGTTTGTTTGTTTTGTTTTTTTTGTTTTGTTTTGTTTAGCTCACAGAAAGATATCATGAAAGTTAGTCGAGATCCCAGTAACATTCTACTTGATTCCAGTTTATGGCATGTGACCTGAAAGGACCTTTGGGTCTGGCCTTTAAAAGCAAGCCTTCACCCGAGACCTCTCTCAGCATCCTCTGTCTCACAGTATCACTATCACCCTGTGGCTCAAGCTAAAGGCCAAAGCACCTTCCCATTCATCCGTTCAGTCTACCCCCTCATCCAGTCTAAGAGGCGTCCTGTGTGCTCCTCGTCCTGGAAGGATCTCCTTTCTCCATGGACCACACTCTAGTATTCACCCAACATCAACTCTTTCCTGGACCACTGCAGAATCGCTGACCTAATGATCTTGCTTCTCTTCTGGTCCCTTTTAACTTTAAGTTTCACAAGCTTATCAAATGCCTCTGTTAATTTGTATGTGCATCTATGTGATTGTATATATGGTCTGTGTGCACGTGTGCAGGGGCACATGCACATGGATGAAAGCCAAAGGAAAGGTTAGGCATCCTGCTTCTTCATTCTCCACCTCTTCAAGAGACGGGGTCTCTCACTGAACCTGGAGAGAGGCTGCCAGCCAGGAAGCCCCAGCAGCCCTCCTGCCTCCACCCCACACAGTGCTGTAGTTACAGACACATCTTGCTTATTCATAGATTCTGCCATGTCCTCATGCTTGGACAGCAAGCGTTCTAGCTACTGAGCCATCTCCCCACCTACTGAATGCACCTGTTGAAAACTACTTCTTGTTTTGAATAAGTGTAAAGATGTCCTTTACTTATGGAGGAGATAGAAATGCTAATTTCCCTTAAATTAAGCCATAAATAGTGGGACTTTCAAAAGGTGGGGCTTAGCGGAAGGCAGATATTAAGTCATGGGCCCCACCCTGGAAGAGGATAAACAGAGTTCTTGGACGGCATTAGTACTTGTCTGAGCAGGTTATTATAAACTTAGGACACCACATGTATGTGGTCCCTTTTACACACAGCTGTTTCTTTTTGTGTTTTTCCACCACCTTGTGACATATTCAGCAGGCTTCTCACCAGATGAAGTCATCCAGCATGAACTGTTAGCCTTGAAGACTAAGCTAGAAAATCTATCTTGCTTTGTAATATATTTGACCTTAGGTATTTTGTTACAGCTACGTAGAATTATTATACAGCCAATAGACTTAAAAATAATGTGTGAACTAACTCAAAAGTCCAAATAAAGAAACAAGTGAGAAATCATATCCTAGAGGTAAATGTCTTGGCCAGAGAGTTCTCAAGCAAGATTTCAAGTGTGTAGGAAATAGATCAGTTAAGAAACTACTTGTCTGGTGAAGATGAGGGCCTGAGTTCAATCCCCGGAATCCACAGAAGAAATGCTGGGTGTAGTAGCATGTGCTTTTGTGATCCAGGAACCGCAGACAGTGGGATCCCAGGAGTTCACTGGCCAGGCAGCCTAGGCAAATGAGCTGATCTCAGGCCAATGAGAGGCCCTGTCTCAAAAACACTTCGTGGCAGACAATGTCTGAAAATCA